AGGACAACTAAGTAGTCTTCTGGGGTGGGGGGGAACACAAGGTTGCCCTCCTTATTTTAATATTGGGTATTTTCATAAAAAAATAAAAAGTTAATTTTTGCCTCTACCAATTCTCCACATCTACCTCCCTCATTAACTGGTAACTACTGGAATTAGTTTGATTAGTCTTTTAGATCTTTATAGACCTTTCTTAAAATTTTATATGTGTATTCATAGAAATCATCATTCTGTAATTCAGTTTTCATTTAAAAGTCTGGTTTTGAGATTTGGCCATGCTGATTGATTCAGATCGATGACAGATAGACAGACTGCAATATTTTGTTTCTTTTTTTTTTTTTTTTAATATTTTGTTTCTTTATACTGTTATATATTATTCAGCCTTACGGTACTGTAGTTTATACATTCTTCTACCTATGGGCATTTAAGTGGTGTCTAAGTTTTTACTATTACAGACAATTATCCAGAGATACCTCAGTCCTTATTCCAGAATAAATTCAGGATGGATTGAAAATTTAAGTATTAAAAAAAATGAAATAAATTTGAGTGAATTCAAAAAGTACAAATTTTAGACAAGGAAGATCTCTCTGAGTAAGTATAAACCCAAGAAGTCATAAAAGGAAAGACAGTTTTATCTGACCCTTAATTTCTTTTCAATCCTACATAGTAAAAATACAGAAACAAAGTCAAAAGACAAACTACAAACTGAAAAAAATTACAACCAATTTAAGGAGTCAAAGGGCTAATATTCTTAATTATAGAATGTTATAAAATTCTTACAAATGAATAAGAAAATGACCAAGAATCTAACAGAAAATAAGAAAAAAAGACAAACAGTGTACAGGATAGAAATCGTTTTTAAACATACATGAAAAGTACCTCGACGTCACTCATAGATGAAATGCCACCCAGGGGCGCCTGGTGGCTCAGTTGGTTAAGTGGCTGCCTTCGGCTCGGGTCATGATCCTGGGGTCCTGGGATCGAGCCCCACGTCCGGCTCCCTGCTCAGCGGGAAGCCTGCTTCTCCCTCTCCCTCTGCCTGCCACTCTGCCTACTTGTACTCTCTCTCTCTCTCTGTCAAATAAATAAATAAAATCTTTAAAAAAAAAAAAAAAGAAATGCCACCCAGAACCAGGGTGATGCTATTATCAGATTGGCAACAATCTAGATGTTTGTTTATATACTGAGCTGGCAAGCATTTGGGAAAACAGGCACTATGATGTATTGTTGGTAGAAAATATAGACCAGGGATGCCTGGGTGGCTCAGTCGGTTAGTCATCTGCCTTTGGCTCAGGTGATGATCCCAGGATCCTGGGATCAAGTCCCAAATCGGGCTCCATGCTTAGCAGGGAGCCTGCTTCTCCCTCTGCCTGCCACTTTCCCCGCTTGTGTTCCCTCTCTCTGACAAATAAATAAATAAAATCTTTAAAAAAAAAAAAAAAGGAAGAAAATATAGACCAGCACAATGTCCTTGGAGAATAATTTAAAATGTTTAAATGTGTATATCCTATGATCCAGCAATTCCACACTTCAGGCATCTGTCCCAGAAAAACACTTGCACATTTATACAGACGTGCTTGGGGTGTTCAGTACAGCATTGTCTGTAATAGTGAGAACCTAGACGCCACTTAGATGCCCACAAGTAGAAGAATGTATAAACTAAGGTACTGTAAGGCTGAATAATATATAACAGTAAAAAGAAACAAAATATTGCAGTCTATCTGTCATCGATCTGAATCAATCAGCATGGCCAAATCTCAAAACCAGACTTTTAAATGAAAACTGAATTACATATAAAATTTTAAGAAAGGTCTATAAAGATCTAAAAGGCTAATCAAACTAATTCCAGTAGTTACCAGTTAATGAGGGAGGTAGACGTGGAGAACTGGTAGAGGTAAAAATTAACTTATTTTTTTATTAAAAGCCTTTAGCTTTGGAAAAATTTTGAATTTATAGTAAAGTTGCAAAGATAGTACTGAGTTCCCATATGTCCTTCACCCAGCTTTCCCTAATACGAACATCTTACAAAACCATGGTTTGTCAAAACTAAGAAACTAACAGTTACAATACTATCAACTAAATTACAGACTTTATGTGGATTTCTTCAGTTTTTCCATTAACGTGCTTTTTCTGTCCCAGAATCCAATTCAGGATAGCACACGCTACTTTAAAAAATTAACTTTTTAATGTAAAAAAAAAATGTGTGTTGGGAGTTGTGTAGCATAAATAACAACCAAATTATTGTAAAATATCATTATCAGAAAAAAGTGCTATTTTTCTTTCTATTGAGTTACTGACCCAGATTTTATTTAAATAGGGTATTAGTGGCTCATTGGCTATATAACTGTGTTAAAGATCCCCTTCTATGAATATATAGTAGTATCTTCCAAAGTTTAAATGTAAATATCCTTGTGGTAGCAATCACACTTTAGGGGTTTCTTCAACAGACGGAAAACAGAGAGTCACTGGTACAGGGTTTCTTTTGGGGTGATGAAGATGTCCTAACATTGGGTGCACAAGTCTGTACATATATTAAAACCACTGAGGTACGCTTTAAATAGCTGAATCGTATGGCATGTGAATCATATCTCAATCAAGCTGTTAGGGGACGCCTGGTTGGCTCAATCAGTTGGGTGTCTCTTGCTTTCGGCTGGGGTCATGATCTCGGGGCTGTGAGATGGAGGCCCCGCAGCAGGCTCCGTGCTCAGCGGGGTATCTGCTTCCCCTCTCCCTCTGCCTCTCCCTGCCCCCCCCATGCTCTATAATAAATCAATCAATCTTAAAAAACAAATAAATAAAAATAAAGCTGTTAGGACAACAGAAAAAAAGAGGCCCCGGAGACAGGCTGCAGGTCATTTGTGTGTCAGCCTTCACTTCCGAGCTTTGGGATCGGGAGCAGGATACTTCCCTGTGTCTGTTTCTTCAGCTGAAAAACGGGAAATAGGAGCATAGCCTAGGTCATCAGGGTTGCTGAAGACCAAATCAAAGCCATGTATACACAGTGCTTAAAACAGAATCTGGCACACACTAAGTACTCAGTAAAAGTTGGTTTTTACAATTAGTCAGCTCCAGACAGGGCTCCTTAAAGAAACCCACAGAATCCAACAGATTGAGACTAGAAGGGGAACAGAACAAGCCATGTCGCATAAATGAAGATGGAAAGAAACAGGTATATTAAAAGAAGAAAAGAGAAAACTCATAGGATATAAAAACTTTTCACATATTTGAAGGAGTCTCGTATCATGTTTGTCTTATTTATATCTGCTCCATATGGCTCAGAAGTAGAAAGCACTTTGTAAACTAGCTCTAGAAGGAACGATGTGCCTGGGGGAAGGAGGGTGGACAGAGATGGGGCAGGATGGTTTCACAGTCATAGAGACCAGTTTTCTGTAGGTTTGAAAATTTTCCTAATAAATAGTTGGAGAGGAGGGGCTGTTGGGCAGCTCAGTCAGTTAAGAGTCTGCCTTCAGGGGCGCCTGGGTGGCTCAGGTGGTTGGGCGTCTGCCTTCGGCTCAGGTCATGATCCCAGGGTCCTGGGATCAAGTCCCGCATCGGGCTCCCTGCTCCTTGGGAGCCTGCTTCTCCCTCTGCTTCTCTCTCTCTCTCTCTCTCTCCCTCTGTCTCTCATGAATAAATAAATAAAATCTTTAAAAAAAAAAAAAGAGTCTGCCTTCAGCTCAGGTCATGATGATCGAGCCCCGCATTGAGCTCCCTGCTCAGTGGGGATTCTGCTTCTCCCTCTACCTGCCGCTCCCCCTGCTTGCGCGCTCTCTCTCTCTGACAAATAAATAAATTCCTACTACTGGGTATTTACCCAAAGAAAACAAAAACACTAATTCGAAAAGACAGATTGCTATGTTTACTGCAACATTATTTACAACTGACAAGATATGGAAGCAGCCCAAGTGTCCATCCACAGATGAATGGATAAAGAAGATGTGGTGTATATATACAATGGAATATTATTCAGCCATAAAAAGGAATGAAATCTTGCCATTTGCAACAACATCGGTAATGCCACAGAATATAATGCTAAATGAAATTAGTCAGAAAAATACCATATGATTTCACTCATACATGGATTTTAAGAAACAAAACAAAGAAAAAAAATAGACCAAAAAAACCCAGACGCTTGAACACACAGGTGTTTGCCAGAGGGAAGGTGGGTGGGGGAATAGGTGAGAGAGGTGAAAGCAGTAAGAGTACACTTATCATGGCACCCCTGGGGGGCAGAGTAAGTTAAGAGTCCGACCCTTGGTTTCAGCTCAGGTTGTGACCTCAGGGTTGTGAGATCGAGCCCCCGTGTTGGACTCCATGCTGAGCTCAGAGTCTGCTTGAGATTCTCCCTCTCCCTCTGTCCCTACCCACCCTGCTCTCTCTCTCTCTCAAATGAATACATAAATCTTAAAAAAAAAAAAAAAAGAGAGTGCACTTATCATGATGAGCACTGAGAATTGTTCAATCATGGTACCATGCACCTGAAAATAACATCACCCTGTTAATTACACTTCAATTTAAAAAAAAGTTAAAAAACTAATGAGAGGAAATCAAATAAATTAATCTTTTACTGAAAAACAAATGCCAAAAATGAAAAAGAAGGTATGACTTCATGCTCTATAGTTCGTTTCTTCCTTTGGGTAAGAAGTCTTCAACACACTTTCCTCAGTGATATAGTAAAATGTTCCCCCCCCACCTCTCATTTCTATGCAAAACTCCAAACTGATTCCCTATTGCCAAATCAACCTGCTTAAAGTCCACTCTCCCCTCCACGCTTAAAAGTGTGCATTTTTAAGACTGAGGACCGGCTTTCTACTCCCGGAAAAAGTCCATCAATAAAATAATGGCCTTTCTAGGTAACTAATATAGGAGCTGAGCTGGAGCACTGACTTAAGAAAAAGAACTTGTGACTCAAAATGTAACAGAAGAATAAAAAATAAACCTTATTACGCTGAGCAATTTTTCACTTCCTTTCACATGGAACAAAACGCTGGTGACACACATACCTGTGGGACCATTGCAACTCTCTGGTTTCTTTTGGGTGACCTTGTATTTATCTGTCTGTCATCTTCATCAGAAAAGAGTCGACTTCGTTTTGAATTTCTGAAAGGCTATGGTAGAAATTTGTTTAGTTAATAAAAAGACTGAACAGTTCCCATTTTTATTCCAAAATACAATTCTATACTTGGGAGACAAAGCTAATGCTGGACTCTCAGCAGCCTGGAAGGATAAGGATGCGTAATACAAAGTACACCAAGCTTCGAATACAAAGAACCTTAGATTTACAAAGTAGTACATATTTAAGCAATTTGTTTACAATCAAAACATCTAGCTGATGACTAAATGAAACACCTAGCTGACGATTAAAACTGGAACCCAAGTATCCTTAGCATCCCTGAATGGTGACGAGAGGAAAACAAGTTCTGGAAATTCCAGTTCTCATTATGTTAGTGCTTGGATTAATAGTACTTGGGTGTATCACATGCTGTGTTGGCCACATGGGGCTGCGATGGACAAAGTTACTAGATCACTCGAGAGAGTCAATCTCAATGTATAATAATGCACTAGATGCACTGTCAAAAATTGTTAACTGAATTTCCATCTGTGAATAAAAGTACAAGACACCTGTCACAGGTATTTGGTAAGTGACTGTAGCCTAAACTAGGCTGCAGAACCAGAACCAACTTTTGTTGAAGTACCCAAAGGACATTGTTCACTAAAGGGTCTGTAATATGAACAATTTACAGTCCACCCTAGGTTTAGAGGCCTCATTCAGGCAGAAGAACAAAAGAAATAATATCCCAATCATACCAACATCCTGTTTCAAATCCTTCTCCACCACTGCAGACAGACTTGCATGCCCAGTTGGAAGGGAGAGGTAGGTACAGAGGGCTAACAACATATGGGCAACATCCAACCGGGTCAAGGCTAGAGGTACTGACCCTTGAAATTAAACCAACCAAGAGTCTTAATACTCCACAGCCCTGAAAGAAGTCCCTTCTCCCCTACACGTACTTACCCTTGACCTATACAAGATTTTATTATCTTACCACTTATTTATACATTTTTTGCAGGGACCAGAACCATATGAAATTTTTTATATTCTAAATAAAGGATGATTTAGGGTTGTTAGAGTTTTTTTTTAATCCTGTCTAAAGAAACCACAATTACTTAACAAATGCTTACTGGTGACCAGATTATCAAAGGCTCCAGACTAAGTATGATCGTATACTACACTCAATGACACTTAAAGACTCAAATGCTTGGAGTCGGGAAGAACCTTAGGAAACTCTTACTGTCCTGTAAGAGCTGCGCACGTGACAATCATACAATTTAGCTATCATATTCTAAAGAGTAAGAAAAACTAATTCCTTACCATCTCCACAGCGGAGCCCGTATTCCTGCCTTTCCAAACAGGTGTTTTTTGTAAAGAGCTGTATTTTTCATTCCATGTGTTAGATAAGCTTCCCTCTGTAATAAGTAATTATTACTAGTAAGATTTAAGTTTAGTTCAAAGGATTTTATACAATGAGCATTGTCTTTTTATTAATAGCAATATATCTGAAATATTTACCAATATGGAAAAAATATACTGGCCACAGTAATTTTGGTTTATTACAAATGAGAAATCTCTTCTGTATTTTTTTTGTCAAACTCTACATAATTTGACAAGGCACTGCATCGTGAAAGTATTAAATTCTCATATTAAAATATGTGTGGTTTCTTTCTTTGTGTTTTTAGTAATTCCTTTATTCTAATTTGCTAAGGAGCTTAAGTACAATCTGATTGAAACAGTGCAGTGGAAAAATGGAAAAAGCTTCTAACCTTGAATTTAGAGTATATTTCTAAATGTTTCCTGCATCAATAAGTGAAGCTGTGGATATACAAAAATAAAATGTGTGGGTGTTTCTGTTTTCCTTGATTCAAAGAAATGTCTTCAGAGTTGTATGCAACCAGAAAAAATCCAATCAAGTAATTGATTAGACGTATTATAAAAATACAGAACGGTGAGTTTAACTTTTATAAAAAGGGTATGTTTGTGTAGAGAAAGACATAGAAACCTGGGATGAATACACACAAGATAGTTATTTTCATTTCTTCTAGCTGCTCATCAGCATTTCCTAATTTTTTTCTGTAAGAAATGTATCACTTGTATAAGTCTTTTTTTAAAAAAAAAAGAATTTTTATATCGGGAGGAAAAGAATAACGGAATACGTTTTCAGATGTACATTTTAGGTACAAAAGGAAAGAGGTGGACCAGGGTTGATCCTGCTAGGCAAATAAATTAGGGTAGTCCTGGAAGGTTAAGTTTTCTCAAGCCAGGACTTGATTTGGTAAATCACCAATCCAAATCACCAATCCAAAGCACAATACAGTAGCTTTAAAAAAACTAAAAGTACTAGTGAACTTTTGAGCATAGCTTGGTTCCAGACTTACTTACTTAGTAGAACCCTGCTCAAGCAAAAAATCAAAACAAACTACAGTAAGAGGCTTGGTCTAATGTACTTGCAGAAAGAAATCAAGATCAAGGAATATGTATAACCCTGTTCTTAGGAAAAGAAAAGTACTGTCATTCTTTCATATCGAGAGACTTGCATTATTACTTAGAAAGCAGAATTCCTAAAAATATAAACTTTTATTTTTTTTTTTTAAGTAGGCTCCACACCCAGCATTGAAGCCCAATGTGGGGCTCGAATTCAGGACCCTGAGGTTAAGACCTGAGCTGAGGTCAAGAGCCAGCCCCTTAACTGACTGAGCCACCCCAGGTGCCCCGCTAAAAATATAAACTCTTAAGCAAAAATACCGCTGAGCACAGCTGTTCAATAAATGCTTTCACTCTAGTAAGATGTCTGCAATGTTAGTTAAAAAGTTCCTGGAGGGGGACACCTGGGTGGCTCAGTTGGTGAAACATGTGCCTTCGGCTCAGGTCATGATCCCAGGGCCCTGGGATCAAGTCCCACATCGGGGTCCTTGCTCAGCGGGGAGCTTGCTTCTCCCTCTGCCTGCTCTGCCTGCCGCCCTCCCCACTGGTGCTCTCTCTCTCTCTCTCTCTCTCTCTGACAGATAAATAAAATCTTTAAAAAAAAATCAAAAAGTTCCTGGGGTTTGGGGCACCTGGCTGGCTCACAGGGAGTGTGTGACTCTTGATCTCAGGGTGGTGAGTTCAAGCCCCACATTCAGTGTGGAGATTACTTAAAATCTTAAAAAAAAAACAAAAAACAAAAAGTTCTTGGGGCACCTGGCTGGCTCAGTTGGTGGAGCGTGCGACTCTTGATCTCCAGGTGATGAGTTCAAGCCCCACACTGGGCAAAGAGCTTACTTAAAAAATTGAAAAAAGAAAAAAGTTCTGTAATCAGTAATTCTCAGGGAAAAATTTTCTTAATAATTTCAACAACCAAGGACCAATTCTCCTAAAACAGCCCATGAATTTAAAATTATCATCAGTGAAAACCAATACTTAAAAGCTATACTGAATCCTAACTTAGACAGAAAAGACTATACCCAGATCAATTTAATGAACTAAATTTCTAGCCTATGCCATATCTACAGAATCATGCTATGGTCTTACCTTTTAAACTGACAAGGGCTTTTGCTGAAGAGCCTGCAATTAAAACAAATCAATATTATTTCATAATCAATGTGAGAGAAAAAGAACTTGGCTACCAGGTGAGAGTGACCCGTCTGGTTTTAGTGGTGCTGAGGCTGAAGTGACGGTGGAACGTGCCATCAGAGGTAAACAGAGGGCCGTTCAAGCTATCGGCCAGAGGTCCCATAAGGTAAGGAAGAGCTGGAGAGAGATATCTGGGAGTCCTGTTGAAGCGAGAACCAGAGGCCTCTCCAAGAGAGGGAAGGGGGAGAGCAGGTGCAGAGAGATTTGGCATCCACATCCAGAAGTATTCGGGTGCTGGAGAAGGAGGAGAGACAGGGACTGATGTTTACTGAAGCAAAGGTCGGAAGCAGTAATAGAGCAGAGAGAAGAGAAAGTGAAAATCATCCAGGGGCGCTGTGGGTATCAGGCAACAAAGTGCCTAGGAAAGTCTAGAATGCAGATGTGTGCAACCCTTCAAGACACAAGCTGGAAAAGGGAGTTCAGAAGAGTCAGAGGGGCTAGCATACCGATGGAGGGGTTCACTGCCTAAAACAAGCCTCAGTGTATGTTAGAATAACTAGGAAGCACCTCACGCATGCAGAAGCTGTGTTATTAATAAAGGTCCTCGGGGGTTCCATTGCAGGTAACCCTCAGGCCCACTCTGAAGACACACTGGGCTACAGGCCCTGGTGTGAATAAAGGATGGGATCTAGGGGTGAGGGGAAGCAGGAGAAAATACAGGAAAATACATTTTTATGAGACAGGGAGAGCACTAAATTGAAAATCTCAGAATTGAAGATGTATATTGCAAAGAAGTCCAAGTCATTTGAAAATAATAAAGGACGATCTCTCTCACTTACATGTGGCATCTTAAAACAGGAACCCAAAACCTGAACTCCTAGATACAGAGAATGGACTGGTGGTTGTGAGAGGTGGGGGTTGGGGGCATGGACAAAATGGGTAAAAGCAGTCAAAAGGTACAAACTTTCAGTTACAAGATAAATAAATCCCGGAGATGTGCCACAGAGCACAGAGCCCACAGTTAACAATGCTGTATTGTATACATGAAAGGTGCTAAGAAAGGAGATCTTAAAAGTGCTCACCATAGGAAAAAAAATTGTAACCATGTGTGGTGATGGGTGTTAACTAACCCAGGTGAGGCAATCATTTCACACACATCAAATCATTATGCTGCACACCTAAAACGAATACAATGTTAAATGTCAATTATAGCTCAACAACAACAAAAATTAACAGAAAAAAAATCCTTTCTACACTCCAAAATAGAAATTATTCACAGAATTCTACCTGAGTGAAATCTCCCTCTTTAACTTAGAAAAAAAAAACAGTTTAGAACACGTTTTTCTTTTATTATAGTCAAATTATTTACATATCATCCCTCATTTTTAAAATTTGCTTTATTTTAGGGGCGCCTGGGTGGCTCAGTCGTTAAGCGTCTGCCTTTGGCTCAGGTCATGTCCCAGCGTCCTGGGATCAAGCCCCAACTCGGGCTCCCTGCTCCTCGGGAAGCCTGCTTCTCCCTCTCCCACTCCCCCTGCTTGTGTTCCCTCTCTTGCTGTGTCTCTGTCAAATAAATAAATAAAATCTTTAAAATAAATTAATTAAGAAAGTAATTTGGTTTATTTTGGAACCAGCTAGTTCTCATCTCAGTTACTGTGACATCCATTTATGTTTGACAGAATATAATCTAAGATCAGGCAGTAGTTGTTTTCTGAAAGGCTGGTCATTTACCTGCACTGAGAAAAGACAAATTTTTAAATGGCAAGTTCAAAATGTGTGCAAATAACTCTAAGGAGCCAATCCATTATGGTATTTCATAAAAACACAAATATACATAAATAAAGGATGATTCCAGGGGATAAAGCAAGAAAGAAGAATACGAACCAGGTAAAAAAATCAGAGAAGACAGATTAATTCTCCTTGGTGTTCAACAGAAGCAGCCATGATTTACAACTCCTATAAATGGACAACAGACTTTAAAGGAGAAACAACGAGAATGTACTGCGGTTCTGGCTATGAAATATTTTTATGCCACTCCGATCCCTAAACTTCAGCTGACTTTTCCTCTGCAGGGCAGGACGAGACGCTTACAGAACAGACAAGCCATCAACACCAAAGCCACCCTTGCTCTCACTCTACTCTTGCATAGATGTGGAGACTGGGTAACAGGACATCTGACCGGCCTCCAAATGGCACAGTGGTTTAATGACCAGTGGAAGTAGAACTGTGGGGATGAAGTGGGGGAGAGAGGCCACAAAGTCTAGCTAAAAGGCCTCACATGGAACACAACTGGGAAGCGGCTAGTGGACAGGGCACATGGCCACGTAGTTACCAGAGAAATACGGCTCACTTTAGAAAAAGTGGTAGCATCCACTCATCCACTGAATATGTGGAGTGCCAACCGCACCCCCCAGTCCCTGCTGTAGGCCCGCGGCGGGGGGGGGGGGGGGGGGGAGGGACAAGAACATGCAAAAGAGCCAAAGTCCCCACGCCCATGGAGTTTACATTCTAGGGAAGGGAGACAAACAAATGCGCACATTGAGTGATTATGGGGTGGGGGTGGTGGGGGTGGTAAAGCAGTATAACAGGAATGTGGGCCGGGGTTGGGAGAGGGAAGACTATTTTTCTAAGAGGTGCTCATGAGTAGCTTCTCTGAGGGTGATATTTGAGCAGAGATCTGAAGGAAGAGGTGTGAGCCGCAAGGATGTCCATTCCTGCTCCATGAAGGCCAGACTCTGTCCTGGGGATTCTGACCCACCACTTTTAACCCTTTCTCTGAGAGGCTGTATAGCATAGCGGTCAAAAGCACACATGGAGACTAGCTGTGTTTGAATCCCGGTTCAGCCACTTTTTGCTGGGTTACTTAAGAAATTTACTTTACTTCCCTGTGCTGCTGATTCTTATCTGTAAAATGGGGATTAGACAAGTTACCATATGTTAAAGTGCTTCGAGAACAATGCACATAGCACACGGCTAATTTTTAGATCATGCTTATTGCTACCATTACTTTGATCAATCAACAACAAAGGCTCCACTGAACGCCTGCTACTGCACTATTCTAGGGGCTGGGATTACCTGAAGGCCAAGAGAGAGCAGAAGGCCTCTGCTCTCTGAGAGTTTACACTCCAGTGGGAGGAGACACACAAGAAACAAGTACATGAAATGACAATGATGCGTGGCAGTTGTCATAAAGGAAACAAACGAGGGGATCTCAGTCGGGGGAGTGGTTATTTTACACAGGGGAGTGAGGGAAGGCTTCTCTAAGGAGGTAACATCTAAAAAGGAGTAGTCTTGAGGGAGCAGGTCAAAGCAACGAGTCTGGGCAGAAGAATTAACAGGTAAAAAAAAAAAACAAAAAAAACCTCTGAGATAGAACGGCTGGAACATTCAAGGAACAGGGAGAAAGGGCACGGTGCTTAGGGAGTAGCTAGCAAACGAAGAGGGCCATGGAAAAGGGTCAGAGAAGCGAGCCAGGTGTTATGCATGGAACAAGAAATGCAAGCATGAAGCAAAACAGAAATGGTACCTTCTCCAGGAGGCTTCTAGCCAATCACGTGAACAGATGTAAAGCTGCAACTGTGACAGGTGCCACCAAGGAGCTCCATGGTGGTAGGAAAAGATTTAATAAGAAGATGTAATCTTTGTCATGGACAGAAACTAACTTTCTAAAGAAGCTTAAAATGGGATCTGAAGGGTAAGTAGCTATCAACTGCAAGCAAGGGGAAGCAAGCGCAGTCCAGACAATGAGAGCAGCGTGTGCAAAAAAAAAAAAAAAAGAAAGAAAGAAAAAGAAAAGAAAAGAAAAAGAAAGAAGAAAGCCTGGGGAGTACAGGGAATGAAAAAGGCCAAATTTAGCCCAAAGGGACAGGATGAGAGGAAGAGTGGTACAAACTGAAGCCGGAGAGGTGGAGTGCGGCCAGAGTCCAAAGGCTCTTATGTCTACTAAACTGTTCCAAGCAGCAGGATGACATGTACACATTCTGGAAGGCCGGCTCAGGCCACATGTAGACTGGAGGGTGGGGGCAGGCCGTGGGTTAATGGTGACTGGTGCACAGGAGCGTCACCCTGGCTGGGGCAGGAGATGGTGAGAAGTAGGCAGATCGAGACATGGAGAAGGTAAAAGTTACAAGATGTAGTAAAGGCTTCAATATGGGACATGGAAGACAGGGAAGGGCCAAAGCTAGCCTTCAGGTTTCAGTGAACGCACAGTGGAGCCGTTCATTAAGACAGGAACCCCTGGATTATGACGTAGGTCTTGAACCCGTGAAGTCCGAGGGGCCACTGAGGCATCTAAGAGGAGATGTGAAACAGGCAAGGGATACTGAGTCTGCGAGCTCAGAGGAAAGGCCTGGGCAGAAGAGAGCCTCCGATTCCTCATACACAAAGTCCAGCTCCTAAGAGTACTTAGTCGACTGAAATGAGCACTCAGTGAGCAAATGCGTATCATACGCTTTGCACAGCATCTGGTTCACAGTAAGTACTCAGATGGTAACTTTTATCACTGATAACGTTATACCGGCTATTGGCTAATTCACAAGCCAGCCCCTTTGACTAAAATTGGCAGAGGAACATACAGCTATTTCCAGTATCAAACTGAAATCACTTTTCCTTTCCAAGACTCTGCTCCAGGTTCATAAGGAATGCCTCTTATCCTACCTTCGATTCCATATAAATCAAATTTTTACATATACCCGATATGTAGCTCTATGTGACCAACGAAGTAAGGCAATTCCTGCTTTCAACAAGTTGTGGTCTAGCTAAATAAGACCTACACCACACAAACACAGGTGTACTCCCATATACACCCCAATGGACCAGAGGTGTCACAAAGTAATATAAATGGGGCGCCTGGGTGGCTCAGTTGTTAAGTGTCTGCCTTCAGCTCAGGTCATGATCCCAGGGTCCTGGGATCGAGCCCCGCATCGGGCTCCCTGCTCCGCGGGAAGCCTGCTTCTCCCTCTCCCTCTCCCCCTGCTTCTGTTCCCTCTCTGGCTGTGTCTCTGTCAAATAAATAAATAAAATCTTAAAAAATTTAAAAAAAAAAACAACAAAGTAATATAAATGTCAGTTATATAGTTTGAGAGTGTAGCTGGAATTTGAACCCTACTGTGAGTCCCAAGTCTCTACAAAGAACCATAGTAAGTCCTCAATAAATGTTTAACAATGACAAGCAAATATTCCAAATGACAGTTAAAAGAAAGCCACTTAAAACGTCTGTCATCTCAACAGAATGACCACAGTAATCAAAATAACAGGTCTAGTGGGTGTGACTTCTAAGCTGTGATAAAACATCTTTATTCTAAAGATAGCACAGATTTTCAGATGACAAGCATGTTGTGTTTAGTAGGCCCACCCTTATTTGGGGGCTTCTGAAATCACAACTGTGTTGGCCAAACAAGAAACAACAAAACTCATGGATGGTCCAAGGATGTGCCCAGTCCAATGTGACCTCGTAAATTTCAACTAATGAAAATACAATTTAAAATTCTGTTCCTCCGTCACTCTAGCCACATCTGGAGAGTTCTGCAGCCCTCGTGGGTGCCTCGTGGCTACCCTCCTGGACATTACAAAATCCATCAGTATTTCCATCAACCAGAAAATTCTACTGGAGCCTGCTCTGCTCTGGTCTAGAACAAATTTAAAACACAAACTCTCTTCGCCAGTTTGGTAAGTTGAACTTTTCACTTTGTAACACATTAAGGATACATGACCCCACAAAGAAAACAGAGTTGGCTGTATGTAGCTCTCATTTTAAGAGTGTCTATTTGCCTCCAGCTTGCACAGTTGGATTCAGCTGTGATCGAGACTTTTGTTTTTATTACGCTAAGACTCACAAACGATAGGCACACATAAACCTAGAATAGTGAGTGTGGATCAGGACCCTTCTGCAATTAACTCAAATACCTGCCTTCTTCCATACTTTGTACAACACTGTAAATTACAAAATTCCGCCCTGTCGTGCTTAAACTACGGAATTGGTGCTTGCACTTACTAAACACGGGTGAGTGTGCAGGTCAGAGGCGGCAGGGTGAGCAAACCCCGTCAAGGCAGGCGATCGCAGGGGTGGGTGTCAGGCAGGGCACCGTGTGTGCATGCTGCGATGCTCTCAGCCATGCAGAAAGGTACCCCCATGATTCTGAAGGCACCAACGCACACCAGGAAGTCTGCGGGCTGGGGGCTACCTGTACACTGGGGCGCCCGGCCTGGATCCCCCCCGGAAAGGTCCACAGCCACCTGTGGTCCCAGGAGAAGGGGCCAGCCCTTTGACACGGAAACACTTCCAGGGGTGGACACAGCGGAGGGGGGGTTGGGGGGGAGGACAGCGGGGATCCCGAGCGCCTGCAGAGGCAGGAGCCGCGACAGGACGCGACGCCGGGCCCGGGCAGCCCCTCCCCGGCCCCCGCCCCGCGCGGCCCCGGCCGGGCGGGTTACATAACCCCGCCGGGCGTCCCTCGGCGCCGGGCGAGCGGGGCAGGCGGCGCGGACGGCCCCCGCGGTCCCGGGGCCGCTCCTCCCCCACCCGGCCGGGGGCCCGAGTCGGGCCGGGACAGCGGCCCCCGCCTCCGCCGGGCGCGCGCCGGGCCCCCGGGCTTTCGGTTTCCGGCCCCGGCGCTCACACCACCCCAGAAACCAGCACACAGACACCATAACAAAGGCGGCGACGCGGCGGCAACCCCGGAGTGGGAGCACCGGGGGAGCGCGGCGGGGCTGGCAGCCGGCCCGCTCGCCCGGCGGAGGGCACGGCTGCCCGTCCCGGCCGGCGCAGCCCGGGGGCGGGCGGCCGGCCGCAGGCGGGGGGCGCTTTGAGGTGCTACTCACTCTCGTCAGGCAACTGGTCGAGCTCCGCCATCTTGAACGAGCCGCGCCGCTTTTTCAAAGGCTGCCCGCCGCGGTGCATTGTGGGGCGGAGACTGTCTTTGCGAGGGAGGTTCGAAT